TAATAATAATAATAATATCAAATGAACAATAATAATTAAACAAAACAGGAAAGAAGAAAGCCCTGGAGAATTCCTGCCTGGATGGTGCTCACTGATGGAAGGTTTGTGTGACCGGTTTTATTGTTTGGGGATCATTCCCTTGATAGCTGACTCCCGGTTTACGTATGTAGCCCAGTAGACTAAGTTGAAAATGGCAAAGAGGACTGGAAAGACGATGCGGGACATCTTGTCTACCTTGCTGACGCTGTTGTATGTCTTCTTACTCTCTGGGAGCTTCTCCTCTATACGGGGCATCTTGGGGGGTACGTTCGTGGCAGTAGCAGTGGCAGGCGGAAAAAAAGGGGTCCTTGGCAATGTTGAGGGCATATGTGGTGCCAACAATGTTGTAGGTGTTGTTGGTTTTCTTCGCTAGTGCCACTGGCTCTTTTTTCTAGGGAAGGTGGAAGAAAAAAACATAATAGAGATGAAGTGACTGTAGAATTGCATGGAGAACATTTTGTCCTCTGAGTTTACCTGCTTGCCTGGATGAGAAGATGGAAAAGGGTGTGAAGAACAAGAGACCAAGAAGGCGGCATTGTGGAAGGGAAGGAAGATGTGTTGAGAAGATGGCCAGAACCCACGACATCTGCCACTTGAGGGCTGGACTAGGGTGGATCAGCCACTTCATGTAAGCCTGGTATGCAGCATGTAGAACAAAGAGGTCCTGGCCTGGCACCTAGGTTCTGCTGCAAGTCAAACTGAAGCCACATAGCTGGGTTTCTAGCCTCCTTGCAGCCCCTTAGATCAAAGTAGTGGTATAAAAAGGTGTGTGCAGCTGCACTCACTCAGTAGCTGCCCCAGATGGATGACTCCTTGATTGGTCCAGTGCAGCCAGGTCTATGTTGTGTATTGCCAGGCCAGTATAAGTGAATGCAGGCTCAAACTATATAGACTCCTTGTTTTCTCTCTCAACTGGGCAGTGTTATCTGTTGCATGTAAGGTTCAGCCGTGGAGGCATGATGCAGAAATGTTGTCTTTAGAAAAGAATGACACCTTGTGTGGTCATCCTGGGAGAAGAACTTGATTTTCTGCTTTGCTGGCCTGCTTCCTGGGTCAGGTGAGACAAGAAGACATCACAGACAGTTATAGTTCTATTTTTTTTTTTTTTTGTAGCAGAAAGCCAGTGACTTTAAGAATGTGGGTGACAGCATCACAATATTTTTCCACCATATTACAAGGCCAGATCATACACTGCTTCAGTTCCCCGAATACCTCACAGGAATACCTCACAATCATGATGTCCAAAATGCCTCTGGGATCCTTTAGAGCACCTCATGACCTACCTAGGCAAGATACAGAACAGATGGAAGGCATTTGCACTAGCCCTGAATTTCAGGATTGCTCAGCATGGCACTATAGGGCAGAGGGAAGCCTTTCATCTTGCCTTCGTAGCTATGTGTTGCTGCAAATCAAGGGAGATAAGTGCACCCTCCCCCCCCCCAAGACTCAAAGGACAGCCTTGCTGTCCAGGCTGAAGGGAGGAGCTTACATAGCAAATGGAAGAAGAGGCACTTATGTGTCAGACATGATGTACTGAAGGATGATAGAAGATGCTGAAGACAGACAGTTCAGATATTAATGAAGATGAGTGGGCAGGAAGATGGAGCTAGGAAGTCATGATAGGTGTTGCCCCCACTCTGGGGTTCTTCCTGTTGCTGTCAGGGGCCTGACACCAGCTGCACCGTAGACCATATTGTATAAAGCAATCCAGGTCTACCAGGAGAAACCCACTGAATGAAATCTATTCATATGCAGACATCAGGCACCCTACACATCCTAGCACTCGTACTTCACGCAATGTCCACTGTAATTACACCAAGAGCCAGCATTAGACACAGCAATGACTCATGGTGGGAAACTAATATCTAAACTCAGAACAAGGTGTGACTTTGGATCTCATTTTCTCTTCAAAAGCTACTAAAACACAAGGTAAGGCTCATCCAGGCATTTTCCAGGGGTGCTTGGCATGGTCTTGCATGTACATGCGAAGGAACCACGTACAAAGTGACCATCAGGAGAAGGGGAGAGTGTGCAGCCAGCAGGACCTGTTCATCTCCCCACCCTACCCTGGAAACTGGTAGCAGGCAGCATTGCTGGGTAGCACTGGGAACTGGAAAAGGCCAGATTCGCCCACTCTGCTCTGCAGAGATACTCCAAGGGCTTTAGCTTTCATGCTGTACTTCCATTTTAAATGTGTCCACAATCACCATGGATATTTCTGGTTACCTTAGGAAATGAATTTTCCACAGTGATTTTCAGAGGGACACTAAAAGCAGGCTTCTATGCAATCTTTAAACCCCTCTCCAATAACATCACAGCCAGGCCTGCAGCCTTGTAATAATGCCAGCAATTACAGAAATTAACTTGCTGTTAGAAGGAGGTCTAAATGTCTTCAGACTCCAGATCAGACTAAACCACTGATCAGACCATATTCATAGACTTTTATGGGAGAGACTGTTATGATCTTTAATGATTAACTGAGCGACTGATTTCTGCAATCATTAGAGCCATGTTAACTTGTACCCCCTGCATAGGAGGTGAACCTTTCCTGCTAAAGAGCTGACAAGAAGCAAATAAAGGACTAAAGATGTTTCACCTTCTAAAACATTTAAATATGCTTAAGTATGATTACTTATTAGCACAGCTACAGGAGGTAATAAAATAACTAATAATCAGTAATGAATGAAAAACAGATTGTTGTTTGCAGAATGTAATTTGAAGTGCACTGTGATTATTTTAGTATTAATCAGCCATGTTATTTGTTACAGAAATAAGATGACTACAAGTGACATGACACTTTCAACCTGGCTAGCTTTTCTGCCCCAGAACTTGGAAAGTGGATCCATCTTGCCTGGCCGAAGGCATGTGAAAACAGCAGGCTGAAACCAAGGATAATCAGGCAAATATGAAGGCTGTGGGTGGTGATAGCAAGCTACTGCTCCTATTAGTGTTATCCAGAGCCCCCAGGCATCAACCTGGGCTTCTCGGGACCTCAGATCAGGCTGTTCAGGTAGTGCAGACGCTTGGGAGCCTACAGCCAGGGTCTTTTTCCAGTTGCCTATGGACTCTTCTGCCCTGGTCAGAGCTGGGACCCTGGGTAGCCTTTGGGAAGCATCCAGAGCACACACTGCCTACACCGAGGCACATGTGTGTGCTCTGTATGTGCTCTGCTCCTGAGATGTCAGAAAAATGGTTCAGCCTGAAGTTTACCAGGCTGTGCTTTATAAATAAGTGTTTCAGGCAAGATTTTGACAATCAAACAAAGCAAAATGTGCTTATTGCTGTCAGCTGCAAAGTAGCCCCCAGCCCTCCCCCTGCACCTTTACCTATGAGGAGTTCCACATCCTACTGAAACAGGAGGAAAGGTTGGAAAAACAGGATGAAGCCCCACATTTGCTTTGAAAACTTGTCCTATTTAAAACATCTATGTTGCAAAGCAATTCCTGTGTTTACGGCCCAGTTTGGGCACAGGGAGACTGAACCACTGCACAAAGTTGTCCCTGCACTGCTCTCCTGAGGGAAAAGCTGTGAAAGTTGGCCTAGAGATAAATGTGTTCCCTGGATATTGTAGCGTGACAAGTTCTTCCACAACACACATACTGGAAAATAATAGCATTTTTGTTAAATATTCTTGTCTTCAAGCCTCCCTGTTGAGGAGCTAACAGTTGAACCTCTAAATTAGAGGAACTACTGTTTCTGCCTGTGATCTGCTGGAGATTTAGTTCTCTGCACCTGCTCCTTGGCTAGAAATTTGGGTTGGAAGCACTATCCCTCTGACAGGCCTCTCTGAAGGTCACCATCAGTAATATCTACACTACTTGAGAAATGCAAGGTGTCTGCCACTTGCCATTCTTGAGAAAAGTCACTTTAATGACCTCCAAGCAGGTCTAGTCTCTGCCATATTCGTATCCTATAATTCCAAGCACAGCAACTGCAATTGCTGTTCCAGCAAACATGCCATTCCTTCCTCATGCCAGCCAAAGTTCCCCTCTGCAGTGTGCCAGAGACTTGATCCTATCAGAACAGCAGCAAAGTGTTTTACACTGAGACACCTGTACTCCGAGCAGAGCCAAAGGCTCTGAACAATGCATTCCTGCATTTACAAGCAGGCTACTTCAATGCCAGGTTACTGTCAGGTGCTGGTGTGACCTTTGGCATCACTCATCCTTCCCATCTCTTCATTCAGATTATGTGAGACTGAATCCAATGATCTTATGCTCCCTGGATCACCAGACAAAGACTCAGAGGTTGGATGGAGTCAATAATCAGCCCAACACACCACACAGACAATGTTGAGAGAAAGAGGGTGAAATGTTGTCGAAGAATGATACATGGGACTCTAGTGAAGATGCTGAGAACATAAATCACTTGCAGTGCTATGGAGAGCTACAGGTGATTGCAAGTGCAGCAGGACAAAGGACAAATGAGCTGCAGAGCATGGTCAACAAGGGAAAGTCCCAACAAAAACATATTTCCCATAGTGAGGCAGAAAAAAAAGAGATGGGTCTGAACCATCCCATGAGGCTGTAAGACTTTGAACTGGTTGAAAATGGTGGCCTGTCAAGGTTGGTTCTAGTTCCTCTCTGTTGGTAAGGCAGGGATTGAAACAAAGATGTCACAAATGGAAAGAAACAAAGGAGAAAAAAGAATGAGTGACCTGGATCAAGGGGCAAACTTCAGAATTGCTGAAGAGTAGGCTGGACAAGTCAGTGGAAAAGGCACCTAGTGCAAATATTGAGCATGACCGTCTCTTCCAGAATACAAGAAAGAAAACCATAATGATCATATCAACAGAGAGGTTTGAAGGATGCTGTTTGGTGACTTTCTCAGTGAAAAGACATGTGAAAAGTACATAGAAAGCCTGGACCTAACCTTCTCACCATGCACTACAGGATTATTGTCTTAAGGATGAGAAAAGATAAAGATTCAGGACTATTCCTCCATCCAAAGTGTGTTCTTCCTTGTTCTCATGTGTCTGACTGCAGCTACTTGTATTATTTTTGTTGCTTCTTGCCACCCAGGATTTCAGGGCAATGTCATACAAGCACAGACACAGAGCTAAATCAGATTTTATGCATAGACATTGTATTGCAGGTGGAAGTGGGTTTAAGTAAGCATCTTCCAAAGATCCAAAGCATCTTCCATAGATCCAAAGCATCTTCCATCCTGAGGAACAGACAACACTTTTTTGCAGGGAACTCCCTGGTATATGTCATCCTTGCAGACTTCATCAGTTTCCCAGTGGCGAAGTCACCATTAATGGTTGTCTCTCTGGATCCTTACTGTAACAGCTGCTCAGGAATGGGCTCCAGAGATGGCCATCCCTATAGCTGGGGTGGATGGGATGCAATGGATCTCACTGTTCAGACACAGCCCTTCTGTCCTGAAGTGGATCCTTTTAACAAGATATTTTGAGAACACTGGAGATAGGGAGCTTTGCTGGCTATTGAAACCACTCATCGCTCAATCTCTTTGGCCTCTCACTCCTCCCTAACTACTCCATCTCCTACCTTCCTCCTGATAATGTGTTTTTAAAAATCATCTTTACTAACAAGTTTTCCACATTGGATCCAGATACCTCTCTCCAGTTCTATCTGCACCTCTAGGCTGGTTACAGCCACTCTGCCATACAAAAAGAGAGGAAATCCTTCATCCACAATTAGCAATTACTGGTGGCAGGCAGGAAAGGTTTGGAAAATCTTTGGGTCCAAGAAGCATTAGTCAAATCTTATCAGAGTGCGCAGTAAAGGGAGTTTTTGGTGACATCTGTGGTGATACCTGCCTGCCTTTCATTAGAGGAGAACTGCAGAGTGTGTGCAGAGTAATGCCCAGCTAGAACCAGAACCCAACTGTGGCTGTAGCCAGAACATCATCATAATCATTTATGATGCAGAGATCACCAATTCATCAAGATCAGCCCATCATGTTAGATTCTACCTGAAAAAATGTTCTGTTCCCATCTGGACTGATGGGCTAGCTGAAGGGAAGAAAGAATGGAACCAGCACAGAGAATGAACACACTGGGAGTGCCTGTCAGCAACCAGCAGCTTTTGCAAGGTAGTGATTTCTTTCAAACGAGATGGGAAGCATTGCTCCTGCCTACATTTGAAGTGAGGGAAGGGCTGACGCTTATTGATTTTTTTTTTCATGTTCATGCAAGGAAACAATCAAACCTTGAGTAAGGATCCTTGCCATCACATCAGTAAAGAGCGTTCCTTTTGGCTGGGGGGAAGGCTCTCCAGAGACCAGGGCTCAGCCTGGGCTTGTCACCTGTAGTTTTACTCCTGGTACAAACACTTTAAAATACCAATAGTTATTCTTCTGCCTCTTCTTTTTTTTGTGGTTTCAACCACCTGGCTTGTCAATTGTTTCAAGAAGAGCTAATTAAAGGCTGAAACTGAGCCAATAAGGTACCTTCATTGCATAGCAAATTCACTGCTTGGAAATATTCAATAGAATAAAGATGAAAAGCAAGTATGGTGACACATCGTATTCCCAAGCTCCCTGAAAGCTCACCACTCTTCAGGAAGCTCTCTGAGCCGCAGAGACTGGGAGTGGGTTAGCCTTCTAAGATAAAGATCAGGGTTGGCTTCAAAAAGCATCCACAAATTTGGAGTCCTTCCTGATTCTCCAGCCTGATAACAATTGCAGCAAACTCACAAAGAGCACTCCCTCTGAAACGTTCCTGCTCCTGCTTTGTTTTCTTGTTTGATTACCATAGACGCAAACATTCTGCATGATCTTACCCTACTGTTTCAGCAGTGTTAGTCTTGCAGTGCTGGGACAACGAATAAATTAAGGACCATGCCTCTTCTATGACAAACTGAAGCTTTTGAGCCTTTGCTGCTTTTTTGGCTGTGCCCAGTTCACATAATTGCCCAAGGCTGTGTGAATCCCAGCTTTGTGCTGATTTGCCCATCCCTGAAAGGGACATGGTTGCTTTGAGGACCTGTTCTGATCCTTCGCTCATGCCAATGACCTGGGAAAGGCTTCTGTCATTTCTAGAGGCCAGATTAGCACTATTGTTCATGATGGAAATGGAAGACCATCAACTGGCCTCCTCTGGAGCCTTTCTGACATGAGTCTGTTGCTCCGACCACAGCTGCAAAAGCAAACAGATAGAGAGAGTCCAAGAAACACAAGAGCGAGCCGTTCAACACCCAGTGGTGGCTGTGGTTCTCCATAAGGCCTCTGTTCTGCTTTGAACTCCATACCAGAGAGATGACTGGCTGTTTTCTTCCCAAAAGTTACTGCAATTCCGCCAGGTATTTCCATACAGCCCCACAGCAACTTTAAGCAACACATTAAAATGCAAAGGAGTAAAATATAAAGGCTCCAGAACCAAGAACAAGGACGAAGCTGATTTTAAAATTGGTTCAACAAATACAAACAGTAAGCGATTTCTCTGCGCAGCTGAGATTAGATCAGTTAGGAGGGAGGGGCATAAGCAGGGGTAGCGGTGGCTGTCAGGAAGGAAGCTGCCAGAGAGGCTGATCCCGAGCGAGAAGGGAAAACGTGGGTGATGACAGGCACTAATTTACTGCCAGTTGCCATTTCTGATTGCTTGCTTCCTACCACCCTCTTGGCCCAAGCTCACAAAACAGCACCTGCTGGCAGCTGTGGGCAACAGCACGAGTGTTAGACCTCCCCATCACTGCACCATGCTTGCCCATGCCAGGGGAGACCTACAGCTGGGGATACCAGCCACAGGGGACACAGCAGAGTGGGACTGTTTCTGCTGGCGAGGCTGGCATCCCATGGCATATTTGGATTTGTGTGGCATGCTAGCAACATGGAGCAGGGCATTTATGGGTTGGAGGGAGAAAAAAGGAGAGAGGAGACCACCGGCAGAGCAAGACCAAAAAATGCATGCATTCATGTTTCTACCAGCAAATGGTCATGCAGAAGGACAGAGGGAAAACTGAGCAGTCATGCCTGGGTGTTTTTCTCCAGCTAAGCACAGCGACCAGCCCTCCAAGCCTTTCCTCCCCCAACCCTCAAGAACCGCTCCAGTCAAGACCTGAGCTGGGGACCCCAGTAAGTAGCATCCAGCCTCCCGGAGTGCTGCGGGGCTGCATGTTACCCACTCCTGGCCCCGGCGCAGCTCTCTCATGCAGCGTTTCTTCACCACTCCCTTCTCCCCTGGCCTTGGCCACAGGGCTGACCTTCATCTCTTGGGCCTCCAGCACCTTCTTGCCATCCCAAGCCCAGCTGCGCTTGGTGAAGTAGTTGACAGTGGCAAATTCGATCAGCGCAGAAAACACAAAGGCGTAACAGACGGCTATGAACCAGTCCATGGCCGTCGCGTACGCCACTTTAGGTAACGAGTTTCTTGCGCTGATACTTAGTGTGGTCATGGTGAGGACGGTGGTGACACCTGTGGAAATACAGCAGGAGACAAGGATGGTGTGAGACCATACACTCGTACACACCCAGTTTCTCCTCAAACCACACAGTTGGCATTTCCATCATGTAAATTTAGGAGCCACCCTCTAAGTCATGTGGCCCACATCCTTGCTGTAATTAAGGGAGTCTTACCCAGCACAAGTCCGTGGTGCAATTCATAGAATAACAAAACAGTCCATGTTGGAAAGGAAGTCAGCTTGTCCAACCCCTGCTCGAATCAGGGCAAACTTCAGGTTGCTCAGCGCCTTTTCTGGTTCAGTTTTGAATATCTCCAATTCATATAACCAATGGCAAACATCTGCATTAGGATGAGATTAATCTTCCCCAAACTCCATCAACTAGATCTCCGCTCACTATAAAAGAATCCTAGCTCATAGGTAGGCACCCACATTCAATTCCTTGTCTGCAAGTAGGGTAAGTTGCATGATGCTAGACCCGGCTCCCTCATGTAGAATATGCCATGGAGAAGCTTCTGGTTGCTTTTGCAATAAAATAAAAATACTAAAATAACAGTAAAAAGGACAGCTAGATGGTTGGGAACTTCACGGAGGACCAGAAGTTGGATGGCCATTCATCCAATGTGGTTCTTTCAACATTTTGGAAATAGTGTCTTGTGACCTGCATGGATGGACACCGGGGATCCTGGGTCCTGCTGGCACAGCCAGGCACCACCAGTGGCCCAAGCTGCCAGAATGAGTGTCACTATAAAAAAATGGTCTGTTGCAAAATGCCTTCTAAAGCTTTTTTCATTAAAGCAAGCAACCACTGCTATCCATTTTCCCCAATAATGTGTTTTTCAATTAAAAATGCATCAAACACATTATTAAAATATTGACTAATTTTCACTTCCCTTAAGTCATACTCCTGGTAATTGAAGAGGTTCAATAATATTGTTGACAATACTTTCTGAGAGGCAAAGAAAAGGAAGAAACAATTGGAGTTCTCATTATTTTCTTAATAGGAAAGCAAGGCAATTTGGGAGCAAAGACATTTTTCACAAAGGTAGGCTTTAATTTTTCAGTCAGCTCTTTCCTGCTCAATCTGAGCTGCTACTCAAGGAAACCTGTCTAACTGCAAATCTCAGGATAACATAGGGGGGAATAAAATATCCTCAGAGAAGGGCTCACCCCCAGTGTTGGGAGTGCAGACACTCCAGAACCGATGCAGATGTAAAAGTCCACCTGGGGCATGGACAGACATGGGATCCGGGTGTGCACTCTGTGGGGTTTAGTTGCAAATGATTCACAGACACATGAGTGAGGAAAGTTCATCGATGACTCTCTATGTGCCTGAGCTGGTCCTATTTTCCATGTATTTCTGTCTAAGCCCCCCCTTTTCCATTCTGCTGGATGAAAACACCAAAAAGTGGGTGCTAAGTGGCTGAATCCCCTCTTCTTCACTGTTATCACTGTTCAATGCAGCTCTTTCTGTCTGGATTGCACAAACCAGTTTGGTCATACTAACCACCCAGGTCCCTGCAGCTGCACGCAACCCTGGGGATTGCTGCAGGATTTGTGTCACTGGGGAAGGGAAGGCAACCTGGTGCTAACAGGGAGAAGCTGGGGTCAACTGTAAATTTTAAAGCTTGCTCATGACCTACATTTCACAAGCCGCAGTGAACATAAAACCCATAATGATTCCCTGCTAGTTCATTTAGGAGGGTGCAGAATCACCTGTGACCCTCCCTGCATCCCGTTCCAGTCCACAGACCCAACAGGGTCCAGGCCTGCGGAGAAGGTCCGGAAAGGAGGACATTAGCCTTGTTGGGTTTGTGGGAATATTTCTATCACGACTTTTGCTACAGAGAAAATGCTTCATGATCTTTGAAACCACACCACTTTTTGTCTTATTCAAAAACACGAGCAGGTGGTACCATATATCCCCTCTCTGCTTGGTGACTTTTGTCCAATATACTCTCTGTTAAGCGGTATCTGCTGGGCACTGTTATTTCCAGGAAATACAGTCCTGCAGCATCACACCTGGTCTTTGAGCGTGTGTGTGTAGATCCCGAACTAAAGGTCTTGGCAGGAAAGCACAAAGCAATTCTGTTATTATATGTTTGTAAAAGCTATTAATACATGTGCAATGCCAGCCTGATGCTTTGCCTCGGAGAGAGGATCTGAAACCAGCTGAAGAAAATAATAACAATATATTTACCATGCAGTTATACTGCCTCAGCACAGGAACTTGTTATGTGGAGCTCTGACCAGGGGCACATTAGCAATTTCAAAGGTAGAGCTTTAAATGCCTCCCCATGTACCTATCCTCTCCTCAACTCAAAAGCCAATACAGATAAATAGACACAGCCAAATGCATATAATTAGATGATCAATACCTTGATTACTGTCAATATTTATGGCTTGGCTTGTAGCAGAAACATGGACAGGAGTATTTTTGCAGTGATCCAGTGGAAGCAGGGGTACTGGGAAAACACTGAGAGCTATTCTGGGAAATGGCCAGCAGTTTCAGTGATGCCAGTCAAGGCCTGGAGAAGACCAGATCTGATGCTCAGTCTGTTTCCTATCATTTGTGGTGCCTTTCTCCCCTGACCTGAGAGGATGCCCTTGTGCTCCCAGACTCACCAAAAACTGTTCGGGCAGGAACGGACTCCCTGTTAAGCCAGAAGGAGACCTGGGACAAGATGACCGTCATAATGCAGGGTAGGTAGGTCTGGATCACAAAGTACCCGATCTTCCTCTTGAGGTGGAAGTGTGTGGTCATGACGACATACTCCCCTGCAGAGACAGCCAATTAGAGATGCTGAGCCACCGGTGCTTTCCAGGATCATAGAATCATAGAATCATAGAATCATCTAGGTTGGAAAAGACCTTTAAGATCATCCAGTCCAACCATTAACCTACACTACCAAGCCCACTCTAGACTAATCAAGGGTAGACCAGACTAAACCATATCCCGAAGTGCCACATCTACCCGTTTTTTAAACGCCTCCAGGGATGGTGACTCCACCACCCCTCTGGGCAGCCTGTTCCAATGCCTGACCACCCTTTCCGTAAAGAAATTTTTCCTAATTTCCAGTCTAAACCTCCCCTGGCGCAGCTTAAGCCCATTTCCTCTTGTCCTATCGCTAGCTACTTGGGAGAAGAGACCAACACCCACCTCACTACAACCTCCTTTCAGGATGGGGCCAGCTGACCACCAATTCATCTCTAAACCACTAAAGATCTGTCCTGAACAAACTTTCAAGTTCTAAATGAAACTGCAGTGTGTGTGTGTCATATTATTACTGGCTGGCATGCTGTGGTATCTTACAGTACTGCAGGCCACCCTAATGGCTGTGCAAAGGAGGGATGCGTGCTGCAGCACACCGTCGGCACTGACTTTGCACGTCCCGCACATGCACATGCAACCGCTGTGTTATGCCAGGTGTGTGCCCCAGTGTCGCCTGGGTGACTTCCACATAGTGTTTGCCCTTTCAAAACACTTCTCTGGAGACTAATTTACTACAAAACGGTTGTGGGACAAAGGCAAATCAATGCCAATAAACAACTGGGCAATAGGCTTTCCCTGTTTCACCCCAGGCACAAGACGCCTCTAGGGGTCTCTCCGGAACCAACTCCCATCCCTTTTCTGCTCCAGCCCAGGGACCTACATTGTGGGTAAGACCCCTTAAGCCTAGAGAGACCCTAACAGTGCTTCCATAGGATTTCAGGACAAAGGATTTTATTCTCTCTGACAATCCTGAAAATATTCCACTTTTCCTCAGTGTAACCATCTCAAAAGCCAGGGCAAGTTCTGTCGTTAAAAGTCTGGGCTGTAAATCAAAGAAGCAGCTGTCCCTGTTTTCCCTCAACGCCCTATTCCCCCACTCAAAGCTTTGGATATTTTGTTGGATTATTGTGCCTTTTTGTTGTGAGCGTGGCTCCGCTAAATCATTACACACAGGAGCCTTTAGCAGCTTCCTTGCCACTTCAGGTTATTCATCTGCACATTTTACCACAACTTAAGTAGAGAGATGGGCCAGATATTATGACATTTAGCTCCCTGGACTCCCCACATTTCCCCAAGGGAGGTGATATGAGTTGTTACAGACAGACACTATTAAAATCAAGTGCACCAGAGAGGAAATATCCTCAAATGAGAGAACTACTGGTGCATACTGAAGGGAAAAAAAAAAAAAGAAAAGAAAGAAGAGAGACACACATGAGATAACAGAAGCTATCAGTACCTGGATTCAGAAGGGAAGGGAGGAGCAGCAGATGGGAGAGAAAGATGATTAATATTGGTCATTAATCAGAGGAAACATTTGTTTGGGATAATCTTCTATTAGCTATGATAATATTTGTGTAAGCAGATGCAGTGATAATCACACTGAACATTATGTTGTATCCACCTCCCCTGCCCACAATGCTCTCCTGAGGGGCTGCAAAGGGATCCAAGACAAATGAACCCACAGTACCAAGAACCAGGTGGGCAAGGTGGGGCAAATTTTACACACAACGGATCATTTTTAGATGCTTGAAATCAGTTTTCTAGAGGGTGTGGGCAATAAGGCTCTTTCAGTGGAAACCACTAAAAGCTAAACCCTTTACTGCCTCTTGGTGACTGCTCCAGATGTCCCCAGCCATATTCTCCAACAGCATGTGGCTTGGGAAGCGCTGTGCTGCTCACTGCCCACAGACACTGCCTCTGTAATTATGCCAAATCGTGGCATTGAAAGCCCATGGGTCCATCTTGTCTGACAATGTGCTCAGCCTATGCATCACACCGTAGTCCCACAAGTACCTGTGCTGGATCGAACCATCTCTGTCCCAACAACATGGCCCAGCAGGTCATACTGGTTCAGGCGAGATCCACCCTTCGCTACCTCGACTGATTTATCCTTCCCCAGTGTCCAGGTGTAGATCACCTCTGTCTTTGTGTAGGCATCTGCAGAGGAGAAAGAAGAATGAAGTTTGTGCTTCTGCCTGACCTAAAATATACCAAAATTAGCCTCTAGCCAAATTAATCTCTGTTGTGCATTCCTCAGAGCCACATGGCTGAGCACAGCCAAGCATGGCCAGAGACCAAGGCAGTTCAGCAACTGTTAAATCAAATGAGCAAAAGGGAGCTGGGGTTTTCGGAAGGGAACTGGAAGAGGGGGCAGAGCACTGTTGTTGAGAGACACGTTGTCCCCTTGACATGCTGACTCTGCAAGGGCTGGCTCCAAGCAGAGACAAGACAGGCAAGTGTCCAGATCAGCAGGCTGCTGGGGCAGCAGGATGGTCACAGCCCTGCCATGCCAGGGACTGGGAGAGTCACGCTGGCAGCAGCTGGCGAGAAAGGCTAAACATAAATAGGGTTGAATTTTAGGTTAATGAAAAAAAGTTAAAAAACTTTGCCCTCACTCAGAAGCAACCCTCTCCACGCCTCTCAGCTTTGGAAGTGGTGTGCCCTCTCACCAAGACGCTTTTTCCCCTGCATGACCCTGCATTTGCCAGCCTCCAGGCCAATCCGCCAGGCAGTGAGGGAGGCAGTGCTGAGAAAGGTCTGCCCACACGTCGCAAGAGAACCAGCAGGCAAGCGCTGCTGGACTGCTGCGTGGGGTAGCACTGGGCTCAGGGCCAGGGCATCCTTCCAGGGGATTGCAAGTTTGCTTCTCTACCCCACCTGCCCAACTCCCCATACGCGAACACCTCTCTCTAACACACACAGTCACCATCACCTTCACAAGCCTTTGTGACAAAACCCCTGCCTGTCCTCATAACCAACTGCTTTCCTAACAGTGCCCGCAAGCTCTTGGTTTTGTCAGTCCTATGGTATCCAGATATTGAGTCTCTCCAGACCCTACTAGGAGCTACTTCTCCCCATAATGCCCAAGCTTCCTGTCCATACCCACTCTGCAACAGTTTTTTAGGCAAGAACAAAGTTCACTAAAACAAGTCTTTAATTCACTTTTATGACCAGCTTCTCCTATTGAAATATTAAGGAATTCTTTGGCTGGGGTCAGGTCAAGCAATGGGTCAGGTCTACTACAGAAATGTCTCAGCTCCTGCCTTGTGGAAGATTGTGTCCTGAGACAACCATATTTCTCTATCTTTTTAAGACAACCAGTGTCATCCCTGCACTGTAGGTTTTGGCAAACCTGTTAAATACTAAGCAGGCATTGTGCAAAGTGGGGGGAGTGGTTTTGACAAACAGCCAATGTTTCTCAGCATGCCAGCGTGCTGCCTAAGCACTTCGGATGCAGGCTCGCACCTCTCATCCAATGTGCAACACTTTGCTTTTCCAACCCCTCCTCCCAGCTCTCAGCATGCTTCTGGAGACCTCCATCCTCCTTCAGGCTTAGCTTTGTACAGCTCTGCCAACACTCTTCCGTCTTGATGGGCAGCACCTTCTGCTCTAGCAGTCATGGTTCACTCACTGTCACTCTCAGTCTACAAAGGAGAGGTGCCCACAGTTTCGTTGCCTGAAAATGCAGTTGTCTACATATCCGGTCATGTGGGACAGAAGTGTATCTGCCATCACATAGGCATTGCATGGATGCTTGGAACATATTTAATGACATGATGAACAAGAATGGTGACCTACTATCAACAGACAAGAAGGCTGAGGTACTCAACAACTTCTTTGCCTCAGTCTTCACCGGCAACCTCTGTTCTCATCCCTCCCGAGTCGATGGACCGCAAGGTGGGGACTGGGGGGGTAAAGCCCCTCTCACTGTAAGGGAAGATCAGGTTCGAGACCACCTGAGGAACCTGAATGTACACAAGTCTATGGGACCTGATGAGATGCAGGTCAGGTTGGACAGGGCTCTGAGCAACCTGATCTAGTTAAAGATGTCCCTGCTCACTGCAGGGGGGTTGGGCTAGATGATCTCTAAAGGTCCCTTCCAACCCAAACCATTCTATGATTCTATGATTCTATGACATGAAGCTGTTCTGCTCAATGCCTCACTTGCAATGCAGTCTAGTCCGATCCAAACAAGGAGACATTTCACATTTGACACTTTGACATTTAGTGGAGCTGGTAACTTCAGCAACATCTTCTGCTAGCCTAGTCTCAGACAGCTGCTGTACACATGTCCTATGATTGGCTTAGAAACAGTTGTTCTCTGCTGCATACATCCAATTTCAAGGGAGCACGGTGATAAGTAAAGCCATCATCTTCACTGCACTTGGTCCAAGGACTTATGCAGGTGGGCAGCTGAAGCAATCTGAAATGTCTGATGCCCTTACTTCTCCTGCAAGCTCTCTGCCTTCCCTCTTTGGGTGGCTGCCATGGTGACACAGGGACAGGAGGCCACTGATGAGCCTTTCAGGTTGTGGGGATCACTGGAAGGTGGTCACTGAGGCAAATTCAGCTATCCCTTGAAGCCCCAGCATTGTCCTTCTACTTACAAATCTGACCCACTCTAAGCTTTTTGCAAATGAGGAGCTTCCAGCTGTCAATGGCTTTTTGGTGCAAACACTAGTTTAATCCTACTCTTAACACAGGAGAGGTGGGCTCAGATGCTATATGGATGGGTGCTTTAGAAAGAGCCATACTAATGTTAATCAGGGGCAGCTCTCTGAGCTGCTTGTGTCAAAACTCTCATCATTCAGAGGCCAAATCAGTAAAAACACCCAGAAAAACCCCAAAGGGTGTTCCAGCAGAAATATGCACATTAATCTCTTTTCCTCACCAAGAAACATTATAAGCAATTAGATGTGGAGTAATCTGCCTTCCTGCAAGTCTTGTAATAAACCCAGAGTTTAGGCCTGAGGTATGAGATTTTGTATCCCTCCTCACAAGGTCAATTGACATTAATAATTCATCCTTCTCTAAGGCTTGCTATTTTGCTGGCCTTAGTTATGTCTTGTGGCAATGAGTTCTACATTTAATTAGGTGCTGCCTAAGAAATAACTTTATTTTAGTAGTTTTGAATAATCCAGTTTCATGAATGCCTTTTGTCATGAGGCAGAGGAGCAGATGCACATGATAAACACGATTTCTTCTGATGTCAATCAAACTTTTCAACTTTCTCCGTAGTTAACTCCCAAATGGCTACAGGAAGGAAGTATCAGTTTAGAAAAGTTGTGATTTCTCTGTTTTCTTAGAGTCCAAAAGGGAGATTACTGGTGGGGGCTCATTCTTTGTTTGGAGCTGGGTAACTCTTCCATCTAATGCAAACATAGGCTGAGAGTGGTGCTCAGTTCATTGGACCTGGAGGAGACTCCAGGCAGAGCAGGACTAGGAAATTTATTTCCACATTATGGTGAACCAGTGGCTTGGAATTTGGTTCCCACTCACTTTAGGAACAAAACCAAAAGAAATTTAACTTGCACATGGGAGAAAAGAGGGAACTTGTTCCTAGGCAGGGTATGGGAAGCCCAGGCAGATGAGCAGCTGCAAGCCTGGGAGGCTGGGAACAGCTTTCAACTCACCAGCAGCCTGTAAATCTTCCCTAAATCAGGACCCTTAGGTGTTGGGACTGAGATTCCCAGAGTTTCCAAGAGCAGCCTGCCTGACAGACTGAAGAGGAGCAAGGATTTTGTAAACTCCATTGGAGCATGGAGCCAGAGCAACCAGAGACTTCAGGCAGGAGTGATGTAGGG